CATCTCAGTAGATTACAATAATTCACATTCGCAATGCTAGCATTTGCATTTTCTACTGTCAGTTTTTGATTCCCAAAAAGCACTTCTTAAATGATATTACCAATTAGAGTGTCATCTTCCTCAACAACAGCCTTTATAATATTCTTCTGCAAATTGACTATAATCAGAGTTTGAAATTGAAAGAAACAGTGATGGTTATCTGTTCTAAGGCTACTGAACCTACAGCCTGCAAGCGCTCTCACTGCAGCTTTTTTTTTTTTCTCTGTGTGATGGCCATGACTACATATTTTTCAATTTCAGTTTTCTTTCTGATACCATATGCTTCTGGAGAAAAAAGTTTTGCAGGAAACATGGTTCTCAAACAGGGGATATTTTTTGTTTGGAGTAGCTCAAATGATTACTTGCTGATTTGAAAACTGTAAGAAAAAGTTAAGATGTCAATAACTGTTTCATGGGCTTACTTCAGCCAAGGCTTTTCACACTGATGATTCTTTACCTTTAGAAAGAAAAACAATTATCTATTTTTTATTTGTGTAAAACAGCAGAATCTGAGAACAGAATATATCTGCTGAATTTATAATATGCAACAAAGGAGAAGCTAGTACTCAAAAAGAAATAAGGGGAAAAAATGCTGAACTTTCAATCTTGTCTTAGCTTCTCCATTAACTTTTTTTGTTGTTCATAAGCTAATGTTTGACAGAAGCTATGAATGTCTTTTAGACTCTGGTTGAACATAATGACCAGAAAATATCCTTGGAGACTTGACAAAGGTTTCTGTGGACAGAATAGTAGTCCTGTTAACGTTGTCAGCTGAGTTCTGTGAGTGAATCTGCACTGCAATGCATAACAAGCATACAGTGTAAACACTGGCACTGGATAAGCCAACTCATATGTAGGTAACGCTACTGTGATGATTTCATGATTACTAATAAAATCTGCCTGAAAATTTATTGTTTTGGTTTTTTTTAAATTTAATAGTTTTTATATGTATTTTTAATTGATGGTTTTTATAGTAAGCAAAGCCAAATGTAAAGTTGATGGTGAAAAGAACCTTTTTAGATGGAGAAGTCGCACAATGTCTTGCTGTTGCCCATATACAGTTAAAAAGCAAAAGCAATTTGACCATATTAGGCTAATTTTGCTAGACAGATTCAGTTCATGCTTCAACTGTCAAAACAACTGCTGCTTTGTACAGTTACAGATGTTGACATTCCTTTGAGCAACTGAAATATCACAGATTCAAGATGGAGTGGATGGTGGTGCTTTATTTTGGATGATTTTAAATCATGACATTAGATTAATGAAATGTACTAAAACTTTTTAGATTTTCCCAAACACTTAAATGTTTTGACTTAGTTGCATGCCATAGGAAGTACATAGGTCACTCTGACAATAATGCCTCCTATTTATTTCCATGGAAAAGATATCAGATGCAAAGAACACAATAACACAATAACACAATTTGGTAGAGCAAATTCTCAGCTACAGAACACAGTTTTTCAGCATAGTCACCAGCATTAGCTATGCAATTTTGGCACTGGAGACATTCAAGGCCAGGATAGATGGTGCCCTGGGCAACATGATGAGGTGGTTGGCAGCCCTGTCTATGGCCGGGGAGTTAGAACTTGATGATCTTTAATGTCCCTTCCAACCCAAAGCATTCTATGATACTATGACTCTATCATTTATATGCTGTTCATGATATTATAGATTTACCATTTGTAGAAGGGATGTGAACATGAAAACTTTGTGCCTTTAGTACACAAAAACAAGTGAAAGTAGAATGGCTAAGAAAACTTGACTTGTAAGAGTCACCATCTGAGGCAGAATTTGTAAATTGTATAATAAATGAGGCAAGTTACATGACAGCTATTTTTCAATAACCTTTTCCAGCATATTCGGCTTGCACTACTAACCACACTGATGTTGCTTTTCCTTTTTTTCCCCTCATCACAGTTTCCTATAAAATATATTTTAACTGTCAGAGGTATTGCTCTGTTGCTGCTGTTCACCCATTCATAACTGTAATTAGACTGTAGCTTCTCTGTTTATGCTGCTGTAATCTGCGTGGAAAACTTTATCATTTTAGATGTACCACCCTCAAATGAGGAATATGCATGTATGTATATTTTGGGCATATATATTTAGCTTTTAAATATGCTTCAAATTAGTAACCATCTTTGCATGTAAATTTAGTAACTACTTTGTGTAAAGTAGTTAGTTTTATATTTATCAATATGTACATATATACATAGTGAGTCTGGTCTACACAAAGTCAAAGCATTAACCAAGGCTGCAGTAGAATGTTTTTAGTAGTTCACTGATCTGTTTGCACAATATATGGAGGTATCTGTAAGCACTCATTTGGGGTTAATTCTTATCAGTTTTTCTGGGAAAAATGAGTTTGACTTTGTGTAGATGTTCAATCTTTGTCTTCTATCAGTAAACAAAATGCTTAAACTTATTTAGCCATACTCAGAACATTTTCACATTTGTGTCCTGACAAGTGTCAGTGTACATTGTCCAAATCAGACTGTTACCTTCACCATACTTAGCAGTTTCTAATGTCTGTCCTCTTTTGGGCTGTTTTGCAACTGTTTTGCACTCTATCTTTATATGACTACATAATAAAATAGAAAGCCTCCAAGTTGATGAAATGCAACTTTTTGACATATACAAATTAGCAAGAGCAGGCATAACTTTGTATATTATTTGGGGGAGGGGGACCTTACTTGTCTTATTTTTCTCTTTCCAGAAGAATGACAGTGTGTAAGCACTCACTCCAAGACTATTTTCCAAACCATGAACATCCAGTTCAAGTATTCTTCAGTATATACCAGATAATGCAATTCTTTGTTAATTAATCATTTTTGAGATAAAAAATCCAATTTCTTATTCTTTCCTAAAGATACAAATTTGAATAATCTGTCAAGCAGTTCCAGAATTTATTAAAGTTAGGATGTTCCATTTAATTTATGGTTTTAGTTGTTCTTCAAATATGAGAAAATAATTTCAAGAAGAATATTCAGAATAGCTTTATAGGAAAAGTATTTATAGAAGTTTTATTTCCAATTCATTTTAGTCTTTTCTTCATCAGTCTGTATCAGGCTGGTATTCTTCATAAAAGCTTTTTATCAATTATAAACATTAGGTTAAATATTAGGAGGAAGTTTTTCACTCAGAGGGTGATTACACACTGGAACTGGTTGCCCAAGGTGGATGCCCCATCCCTGGAGGCATTCAAGGCCAGACTGAATGTGGCTTTGGGCAGCCTGGTCTGGTGGTTAGTGACCCTGCACACATAGCAGGGGGGTTGAAATGAGATGATCATTGTGGTCCTTTTCAACCCAGGCCATTTTAGGATTCTAACTAATGTTCTATGAAGTCTAAGTGAACTCCAGAAAATGCAGTGAAAATAATAAGTAAAAAATAATTACTCATGAAAAGGGTTAAAAAAATGAAAAAGTCTCACAATTCAAGAAAAGAAATAAATTACTTTTGCTTTATAGTTGATGTACTTGGAAAATTGTTAAGTATATCATAACTAAAAGTACTTTCTACTTCCTCCAGCCATAGAATCATAGGATTCTATTTTTTCACCCTTTCACTTGCAGAGAACATTATCTGTGTGTTTCGTCACAGATTAGTTATTTGGAAGTGTTCAGCTGAAATCCTTTGATGTTGTCTGAGAGAACATTTAGATAAGCTTTTTGTTTTGCTCAGTTAAGCTGAAATTTAGGAAGATCTTTCCTGATAGGTTCCATGTTACTGTAGCTCATCCATACTCACACACTTCTTATTGCAAGAAAAGTTTGTCCCCATTCAGTATACGGAATAGACTGTGAGAGTTTAAACAATGTCCACGTATGTTTTAGAAATTCAGATAATGTATTTCTGGTGAAACCTAGAGCAACTGAGGTTAATTAAATACTTGAATGACCTATTTCAGTAAGAAACACCACAGGCTTCTCAAAAAGAAATGTTGGTTTAGGATGATTGCTACCCTGGTGAAATACCTTGATAATTTGTGTGACAGCAGGCAAAACATGAAAAATAACAGTATGATTGAGTGATTAAGAAAAACTCTGAATCAGAGTTTAGAATACAGTTTTTAATACAGCAAAACAAAAATTATCAATCACAAGAGCAAAAGGGTGTGAAGGAAAGAGGGATTCCAGCAATTCATTTATTCAGCTACTGTCACTAGCAGTTATCCCCAACAGAGGTGTGTCAAGGAGACCTGCACTTCAGACCCAGTGTGAGCAGGTCTCAAGTCTCTCTTGAGACAAATGTCAGCTGCTGTGGGTCATAATAGCAGTATTCACAGGAAGGAAGGAGGAGTCTTGAGGAGGGCCAAGGTGAAACCAGGACTTCAGAAGTATAGACACATTCCCTATCCTGGAAATAACTTTAGATGGATATTTTCAGAAAAATAAATAAATGCCAATTATTAATACAGACTTTTTTGTCTGTACGTTTCTGCATGTAAATCATTTTATTTTTTTTTTCTATGTTGAAATGCCATCTTTTTTATATGTGTTTACCTTTTAATCTGTTAGATGCCAATTTTCCACATGCGAACTGTGGCAAAGAACATGCATCAGATGTGTGAAAATTAAATTATTACTTTCCTCATATTTCTTTATTTTCATATTTTTATAACAATTTCATTCTTCACAAATTGTAATGATTTGGCACCGAGCTCTTACTTTGAATTGTATCTAGAAAGTGAGATATAGAATCCTAGGATGATAAGAAGAATGAAAATGAGAAAACATAAGGAGAAGAAGATAAAAAACAAAAATTATTTATTCCAGGTTTTATGGGAACTGCTGAGTCACGGCCTGAACCTCTGATTGACCACCTGAGGCGAGCCATGACTCAGCCAGAGCACAGCACAGGTGAAGGCAATTCAGCTGTGCTGCCGGAAGGAGTGGAGTCTGGCTGCACCCCTCCTAGACCTATTTAAGAGCTGGCTGCCAGGGGGGATGGATCTCATCTGGAGATCCCTCCTTCTGGTGTTTTATGGGTGAGCCTGGCATAAGGGTAAGCCTTCCATTTATTCTCTTTTGTTACCATAATCTACTTTGCCCAACTCTCTTGTTTATTTTGTGATTGTAACATCTTAATATCCATTGATTATACACAGGTCCTCAATGAATCAGGATTTTTTAGGAAGTAACGTGAGCATAAACAAATAGAAACTACAGATGGCTAAGATAAAAGAAAGCTAATTCTGGTATTTTCTGAGAGACCCACCTTGAACTGTAGTATTTTATGTATCATTATATTTTTAAAATGCAAAATATATTGTATTGTACGGAATCATATACTTCATAGACCAACATACAAAGGAATGTCTTTGCGTGTGTGTGCATGTGTATACTTGAAAAGAAATCCTGAACCATAGGCATCTGTGATTTTCTGAGTTTATGTGAATGTTTTGTTTCAAAACTATGGAGCTGTATAATCTGGATTTTTCTTTGAATAAAATACATGTGAGTACACAAGCTAATCAGATTTTTAACTAAAAATAGCCACTTCAGCTGAGTGTATGCAAAAAAATAGCACTTATTACAATTGAAGATGTTGTCAAAGCCCACTATACTTCGTTATGTAATTGTGAATAAAACACTTGGTTTGCTTGATTCTCTAGCTAATTAAAAAAAAAGGAAAGAAAAGAAAAGGTAGCCAGTTGCACTATCAATACATAGAAGAAATTGCATATTGAGCTAATAAAAGACAACTCCAGGAGACACGGGATGTAGAATAGTTGAAGAGATAAGCTGCATGCATAAGAGGCTGTAAAATGCCTGAGACTTTCTGCCTGTGTAAATAGATGGAGATGTATAATTTAGATTTTGGATAAAGCAATCAAAGATACATAGAAAAAAAAGATACTTTGAAGGTGTAATAACTGACTAAGAAGATGTGGGTTTTATTCACACAGCGTTATGTGATGAGAACACAGGCTTATGGGAGATATTTCCTATCCTTGTCAACTAATGAATGGCTAAATAAAGCAGCAAAGTGCTGATCTCCGTTGTCCCTGAAACGGTTGTTTGTATGGAGAGATTACTGCTTTCTGGCCTCACATTTGCTTCAAGATGGAAAATCCTGACTCAGCCAAGAAGCCTGAAGCAAGAAGCCCACATAAGCCACCAAGAGGTTCAAAGCAAAGCCACAACTATCAACAGAAATCTGAGGAAGTATTGGCAGTGTCTGCACATTAGATTCTTCTGAATATTCATTCACTGATACAGAAATCAAAAATCAGAGTATATGAATGACCTTGGCAGGGAAAATATATACAGCAGATGTTCAATTATGCTCCTTTAAAAAGATGTTTTTGCTGCAGCACTAAAATATATTTCATGCATATCAGTTCTTACATCAGTGTTCTGTCTTCTCAAGAAATTACACTTGTTTGCTCTTTAAAAAAATGCATAGATTGATATCACAATTAATAAGCATATGGGGAAAATGTAAGGTGCTTTAAAAAGAAAATAAACTGACGTTCACACTGCAAGCTTCAGAAATTTAATATTTCTGTCACAAGTATAAAACAATTGGGGCAGTGATTATTTCATCTACCTCCCACTACTATCTTCAAATAGCAAATTAAAGTTTTATTTGGTATGACTGTTTCTTCATTCAGAGAACTGAAGTTCTGAAGCTCACATATTATAGCGTGTTTTGAAAATGCTTTTTCCTTACAGTCATTAACCTTATAGAATCGGTCAAAACCATGAACTGGAAAATGTTGCAGGGAAAGAATAAATGCAAATGACATCTGAGAATAATCATTACAACTTTTAGAGGGTCTCTAAAGTCCTTTCTGTGTCTTGTGATCTCCCTTCCTATCAGTCTGAGGTAGAAAAAGATACTTCCTGAATTTGGGTGCAAGGAAAATAAAAAGTAAAAGAAGAAGAAGAAAGATGAAAAGAAAAAGAGGCCTAAATGTAAAACACATTTTTTTTATTTTTTTTTTTTAAAAGACAGCCTGGTGACCCCAGAGATTAGCATCAGATAAAATGTCGGAACTATACTTACAAATATGAGAAATACATAAACATCTGATTAGTGGCTTTAAGTAAAAAGAATAAAAATTTTAAAAGCAGTATAAAAAAATCAAAATGACTAAAAAATATTCTTTTGATGTGAGATACCAATCATGATTTTTTTCCATAGAAATGACAGTATTGATATGATTATGTGAGGAAACTAGATAAACTTGGTTCATAAAGATCTTGGAAAATTCAGTTAGTTTGAATGCATTACACCGTTGAGGTATATCTTATTAAAATACAAAACATAACCTCTTCCTTACTAGTTAATTTATATAGTTGGAAGCCACTATACCCTTTGAAAACTCAATAACTGCAAATGCTTTTGATCAGTCCATGTGCGAGTCAGAGATAGTGTGAAATCAAGAGGCTACAGAAAACTCAGATTCCTTTACAGAAAGGAAAATCTTCCCGCTTCCCCCAGGAAGTCTCTGATTTTTACGACATCTACTTTGAATGAATCTTCTTACCAAATGAAAATAGTGCTCTACATATATCCTTTTTACACAGTATACCTTTTAGTTTAGTTTATTTTAGACTAAAATGAGTACTAGAGCGAAAAAGGATTAAAGTCTTTGCTTTCCTCTAGTCTTCTTGAACCTATGGCAGTGGAGTTGTATCTAGACAACCTTTAAGATCCCTTCCAATACAAGATATTCTACCATTCTCTGTGCACGCTTTCTCCTCTTTATTTGCAAATCTCTATAGCATTAGCTACTTCACAGCATATGCTCTGAAATAGAGAAGATATTACATACACATCTTAAAAGACCTGGTATTGGAGATAATAACAATTTGGTACACACCACCTTTTTCATTTCCCCAATTCACGCCACCATTTTCAGTAGTTTGTAGTTTGTTGCCTTTTCAATTCTACTTCAGAGAACAGACATCAGTAGTTAGTCAAACTGTCCATTTCTCTATTTATGTTTGTGCTTGAAATTGTATTTGTCTCTTGCAGCCTTCTTCTGTCAATTTGGACAGACCAGGAAGGATTGTTGTACAGGGTGACAGACAGAGGTACTGTGCTTTCTTGTTCTGCTCATGCACTTCCAGAGGGAAATTTTGGTCATGCAGGAGAAAAAAAGAATTGCTGCACTGTGTGTCAGCACTCTTTCCTTTACTCGTGACACAACAGTAGCCGTATACCTCTGGGCAAATATGGCACTCATGGATAAAGTGAGAACTCAGCAATCAGACAGTGTGTTACTTGGGGTTATGCTTACACTGAGCCAATGTTTGTGGAAGATCTGGTGATATGGTGATTGTTGCAAAGCAGATAGTAATGGCTTTAGAGACCCACAGCTAACCTATCTCAGCTGGAAAACAGAGAAAGACAATTCCAGTTTCACATCATATCTTACTAAAGATCTCAGTTTTGAAAGAAAAAAAGTTAATATAAAGTCTACACATCTCAACTTGTAGAAGGGACTTAAATATACTGTATCTATGTAACTAAAACTCTATTATGAAAATCAAAAATACATGCCATATGTGCTACTGGAGAACAGATGCCCTTCTAAGTATAACAGTCATTAAGCTGAATTTTTATTTACAGGGCTGACATTTCTTTGAATTATTTTTGAAAGTAGTTTTCCTGCTTTGCTATAAATTTAATTTACTTTAGAAAGAGTACTAGATTATGGCATTTTTGTTTATAGTAAAATCTAAAATTTTCATTTAGATCTGTGATTTTTTATTAGTTGCTAAATTGTTCAAGTGACATTAAAATAAACCTAATGTTTGGTCTTGAGTTGGTACATTTTTGGAACAGTATGTATATAAAGACTAATAGCCTTCCTAGAGTAAGGATTAACATTCCTCCCATTTTATGAAATAAAGAAGAAATAAGTAAGTGATTTGGAAATAAGTGCAAATAGTTTTACAGGTATATTTTGAAATAATTTCACAAGAGCACTGCAGTCCTTACTAATAGCTTGTGGCACAAGAAAGATTTAAGAGGATTCCTTCTATTTTCCCTTACTTTGCCATAAGACTTTTGCAAATTTTCTGAACAGAAAGAGCAAGGATCAGTGTAGCCCTGTACTTCATTTCAGGTGTTAACATGCTCTGTATATGTGTGCAGTTTTTTCACTGTTGCAGTGAGTTGCTCTATGCACTATTTTTTATAAATCCTTCAAAGGTTAACCACTTTTTAGTTAGAAATTATTACATTTTTCAGTCTTTTTGTAGAAATGAAATAATATAACAGTTTCTGAGAAAATGTGTTCTATACCAGCTAAAATTACCTGAACAAACCACAGACTATTCAGCGGGGGATAGAATACAAGACTAACCATCAAGAGAAAACTATCTCTCAGTATATCTGCTGTCCAATAGCACAGCAGGAAATAAGAATTAAAGAAGTCAGAGAAGCTTAAAATGAAAATTTTAACTGTCTGAGAAATGATTAGTAATATTTATCTGATTGATCTGGGGAAAACCATGTAATTTTGAATACTGGTGCAGCTGAATACAAAATTCTTAATAATTTCCCCTGCTGGTTGGTCTTCAACGGGATTTTGGATGCCAAACCATGTTTGATGAAAAGGTTTCCATCAAGCTCAGTGAGCAGCAGTCAGAGAAAAAGACCTGTGAGCCATGAGTCTGTTAAAGCAGAATTGTTGATAAGAAATACCCATAGAAGAAATAGTGATTAGCATCGAATGTACTTCATCCATGGAGGACCTCTGACAAACTGCTTGTGACAATGTAGTCTTTTTAAAAAGTAAGCATGATTAAGCATGATTTTCTGGTCTCTGGGCCAAAATTGAATAGAGCTGCTCTTTAGAATAATAGTGAAATGTCTTTGCTTTATTTCTTTCACAGATATAAACGTTAAGACATTATATCACAAGTGACAACAAAAATGTCCCAACATTTTCCTTGCCATTTACTTCTCTTTCAAATAGGACAGGAGAACTACTCACAATCTAAGAGAGATGTGAGGAGCTGTTAGAGTGATACTAATGACTGAATCATTGCCTCATGTCCCATTGATTCGTAATGTTACAGATACAGTAGGTTATAGCCCCAAACTGAACACTTGAGAAGGGAGATAAAAACTCCTATTAGATACCAGTTTGGTATCTAACCACGACCAGACTACTTAGCTTCTTTTGCCTGAAAAAGGGGAGAAGAAATGTGAGTTTATTATAAGATATCTGCTGCTCAACTAGCTTCTGCTCACTAGAAATAGCTGGAATAAAAAAGGATGACTTGGGCAAATCTTTATATGACTGTACCTTCAGATCTTTTATGTAATCTATACTGTGTGAATGAACAATATGTTGATTTTCTTTTTGGAAGCGGGAAGTTTTGTGGAAAGATAATGTTTGGGAATGTTTGTTTCCCTTGCTATGAATTCCAGAGTTTGCCTGAATGGTGTTGCACATCATTTGGAAATACCTGATTTTGAGCCCAGAATTGTTGTTCCCATAACTTTTCTCCCTAGTTCTTAGAACAAAGATGATACTTGAAATGAATCACATAAATTACAGGAATGAACTTATACTTGGCTCTAGAGTGTAACATGCTGACCCAAATTGAGCCTTTTTTGAGTACCTCAAAATGGAGGTATTAAGCACTGACCTAAGGGGATAATTAAGAGTACTTCTATTTATAGTAACTCATTTATCCTTTCATAATATTTCTTATGGATGCAGTTTGCTATTCTGGTCACACTGAATAACTTGTAAAACACAAACTACATGTGATGTGAACAAACTTCTGATGTTCTGTAAAAATAGAATGATTAATATTATTTCCCCAATTGTCGTTCATATGTAATATGAACATACTCTAATTTAATAAAACCAAAAGGGAAAACGTGAGGATATAAAAAGTATTATTTTTCTTTCCCATGCTTTCGAATTGCATGTTCAAACCAAGAGTCACTCCTTAAGAAAACAATAATTCCCACTTAAAATAGATGTCTCTGTCCTTGAACTAAAAACTGGTAAAATTTATCACAAAATCTTTTAGAAATAAAGCAGTATCATCAAGTAAATCAGAAAGAAAAATAAAGATTCTTCAAAAACATTTTAGTAGGCTTTTATATTTATCTCCAAACAGTAAGCATCGCCTTATTTGTAAGCAATATCAAAATTTACAGAAATGTAACAAGAAAGCTGTAGTATCATACTCAACTAAGTTATTGTCAGTAAATGAATTAAATTTGAACACTGGTTCAAAGAATTTGGAGTAAGAATGAATGAATTCACTTCAGGTAGATAGCAAAGAATATGTATTCTACTTAAAGTTTTACTCTGGCATTAAACTATATTAATGCAACATTTAAAATCTGGGGCATATAACAGCTCTTCATTCCAGAAACCTTGCTGACTTTTTAACCTCTCTGTTGTGTTCTGCATCTTCTACCCAGGAAAAAATGTATTTCAATACAATTTCACAGTCAAAAGATATTGTTCACCTTTTTAAACTTTAAGCATCTCCTGAATTATGTGGTAAGTCAGGAATTGGCAATTCTGTGTGTATTTAATTAAAAAAAAAAAAAACAAAAAAAACCACAATACTTCTTCACTTTCAACCAAATAAAACTGTAATTTGATTTTGCAAAATAGTTTTTCCCTGGTTGTACCAAAATAATAGCTTGAATTTTACAGGATGATACTCAATATATTATCATATCAATTCTAAAGTCTTTTTTTTTTTTTCCAAAAATAGTTTATACCCTAAATTTACTGTGTAAACCTAAAAGTTCTCAAGTAGCTTTGAAAAAAAGTTTTTGAAAAAAAAGTTACAAGCCATGGTATGTGAACTATATTATTTCATAGCATAAAATAAGCAAATAAAGTCACAAATAAAGATTTGTGCTGTTTCAAGCATAGACAATAAACACTGATATTTATTTGCTCTTATATTGACATGATAACATTGCTGGATTTTC